TGACACAGGATGAGGAAGATGGTTGACAGCATAAGAAAGACAGGGGGACACAGGATAAGGAAGAAAAAAAGTAATTCTTTTGGTTTTACAAGATAAGGAGAAGTCTTATGGTATTTCAAGATAAAAGGAAAAGGACTTTATGACACCCTCAAGTTAAAGAATGAGCCCCAACTCCCTCAGGAGGAGCTTCACAAAGTACTGGAAGAGCAACCTTCAATATTATTTTTAACTCTAAGGGCACCGTATGTTGTATTCACATCAGATGGACAGAGGTATAGGACTGGTTCATTGATACATAGCTTTTAGAAAGACACTACAAGTAGATAGCGAGCTAGGAAATTTCAAAGTTAATGACCCCATATGGAATTTTCCCTGAAATAAGAGCCCGTTTCTTTAAACACTAACATTTTTCTAGAGATGTTGTGAACCTGAATCATGGAATGCCACAGTCTGAAGATTTTAAGTTGAAGTAGCAGCAAGCATTTATTAAGCACTTCTTGTGTGCCAGGCACTGGAGAGACATATATAAAGAATGAAATAATACCTAATTACAGGAGTTTACATTTTTGTGGAAAAAGACAGCAAATTTGTAATAAGGATATGCAGAATAGCTATGAAGAGAATAAATAGAAATAAATACAAAATAATTAAAATATAAAGTAGATTGGGAGGAATGGTACTAGCAGTTGGGGAGATCTGGAAGGGCTTCATCAGTCCATCTTCTCCAGCAAATTCCAAATTCTCTCATTCTATCTGCTCCTTGAATCTATAACTTTTAAAGGCTGGCTGTACCATGATCCAAGAGAATGGAATAGGAGAATGTTCTTCTGAAGAAAAAAGCACCTGAAGTGAGAACTCTGGAAATGGATGGATTTTTCTAGAGATTGCTGGGTGGTAAAGTGGAGAGAGCCCTGGGCCTGGAGTCAGGAACACCTGGGTTTTAATCCTTCCTCAGATATGTGACCCTGGGCAAGTCACAACCTCTGGCTGCCTCAATTTCCCCCTCTGTAAAATGGGGCTAATAATAACACCTAACAGTAGTACCTACTTTCTGAAGCTGTCATGTGGATCGAATGAGTTAACATTTGTAAAATGCTTTGCACATAACAAACACGATAGGGTAATTTTAAAAATGATATAAAGATATAATATATATAAATAATATAATCTAACTACTATTAATTTTTACCATTATTAATTTGCCTAGCCCTGCCTAGCAGAAACCACAGGACAAATGGAGCATTACCCACCAGATATTAAATGCCACATGAAATCAATCAATAAAGACTTATAAAGCTCCAGTTGTGCTCCGCTAAGCTAAGTGGTGGAGGTACAAGGAAGCAAAAGCTAGCTCTGCCTTCAAAGTACTTTCATTCTAATGGGGGAGACAGCATGTATGTAAAATGGTACATACAAGATGCTTACAGATTTATGGAAACTAACCTTGGAGCAGAAAGCCCTAACCTTAGAGGACTGGGAAAAGCCGCCTGCAGAAGGTGGCATTTGAATGAAGTCTTGTAGGAAGCCAAGGATTCTAAGATAGAGAGGCAAGGAAAGAGAACATTCCAGGTATGAGAGATAGCCAGTGCCAAGCCATTGTAGTGACATGGGAAATGGGGCATTATTACATGAGGAACAGTGAGTGTGGCCAGATTGTTGAGTACGTGGAGGGGAGTAGAAAGATAGGAAAGGACTTTAAAGGAATTTGAAGGAATTTAAATGCCAAACAAGGATTTTTATATTTTTTTTTAATATTTGATCCTAGAGGTAAAAGGGAGTAACTGGAATTTGTTAATTTTGGAGTAGGGAATAACAATCTCACACTTCAGGAAAATCACTTTGGCAGCTGTGTGGAAGATAGGTTAGAGTGAGTAGAGATGTGAGACAGGGAGGCCATTTGGGAGGCTATTGCTATAGTCCAGGTAAGAGGTGATGAGGGTCTGAATGAGGGTGGTGACCATGTGAGATGAAGGAAGGAGATGTATTTGCAATATGATGTGGAGAAAGAAGGTAGGGTGATCTCTCATCTCAAACATGACGCCAAAGTTGTAAATGTGGGTGATTGAAAAGATCAAAGTTCCAGATGTAGAGCTGGAAGGGGCCTGAGAAGCTATTAGGTCTAATCCCTTCACTTTATAAATGGAGACTTTGAAAGGTATGGTCATGCCCTCAACCAAAATAGAGATGTTTGGAAGAGGGCTGGGTTTTGTGGGGAAAATGAGTTCTCTTTTGCACACATCAAACTCAAGATGCCTACAAGCCTCTTAGTTAAAAATGTCCAAGAGGTAGCTTATGATGTGGGACTGAAGCTCGGCAGAAAGAGTAAGACGGGACATAGACCAGGGAGTCATCTGGGTAAAAATGATCATTGAATCGATGGTGCCTGATGAGATCCAAGTGAGAAAAAATATTGAGAAAAGAAGAGATGAGGGCCCTGGATGAAACTGTGGTATACCAACAGTGAGTAGATATGACATGGAGGAAGATCCAGCAAAGGAGACTGAGAAGGAGTGATCAGACAGGTAGGAGTAGCACCAAGAGAGAGAATTGTGGCACAAAAACCTAGAAAGGAGAGAATATTTAGGAGGATATTGGTTAAAGATGTCAGATATAGAGAGGTCGTGATGGATATGGATTGAGAAGAAGCCATTAGCCCTGGAATTAAGAGAACATTGATAACTTTGGTTAGAACAGTTTCAGTTGAATGATGAAGATGGAGGCCAGATTCCCAAGGGTTTAGAACAGAATCAAAGCAGAGGAAGTGGATGGACCATGCATAGATGACTTTTTCTAGGGTTTTAACTGAGAAAGAGAGGAGAGAGATGGAAGAGGTCCAGCAGGAGACATGCAATGACATTACCAGAAGACTTTAGCAGCCCTATAATGTAGGCATGAGTTGCCTTTCTATTCGTGTGTTGTAGACACCAGCATTCCTTATGTGTGTGCTTCCATATACATACTTAGTCCACATGTTGTTTGTATATATGTTCATCCATGTGTTGACTAGTTATGTCCCCTTTTCCCATTGATGATGTGTGCATTTGGGAAGAATGTGCCCCAGTTTTTTCGGGAAGTTTTTTCTTTCTGTGCTATTTCATTAAATGCCTTTCATATATGTCCTGTGCCTGATAAGTTGATATGGATGCATTAGTAGGGGCTTGTGAGCTGTTTTTTGTTTGTTTGTTTGTTTTTTTGGTGGGGGGAAGTCAAAGTAGAATAACTTAACCAAGGGATTCACCTATGAGAGTGGTGTACCCCAGGAGCTCCATAAACTTACCCATTTTTCCCCTTTGAAAAAGATCACATTTTAGGTTTGTAGCCTAAATTCAGGGGTAACCTACATTTAGATTAACACAATTTATGGAATGACCTAAGGACAATCTGTACTTTTAATAATGCAACAACCCTTATTTTGGATTACCATTCCCCATCCCCACCCCTACCCCCTTTAGAAACAGAAAGTTTTTGCTTTTTTCCCCTCTTAGTTTTGTTGTGAAGTGGCTTTTTTTTTTTTAAGGATACATAAACATTTTTAAAAAGTCAGTGCTTCACATATCATTTCTTACAGTGTTCTTCTTTAGTTAGGGTGTTGTCTTGTGGTATTCTCTCTACTATAAGTGCCTATTTTATGTTGTTCCTATAATAGCTAACATTTAGCGTTCACATACTAAATATATAATGTCTGAGAAAATTTTGAGAGGAAAACCAGTTTTGTGTTTTGGTGTTATCTTCCTAATCTGGAAGTAGGTATGTAGCCATTTGATATATTAACACTTAAAAGAAAGTTTGGGAAAGGTATTATCAATTTTCTTGCTTCTTTGACATTCATTCAGAAGAATATAGTAACTTTGGCATCTTGCAACGGCCGTGGTTAAAATAATGATCTTTCCAAATTTTGCCATTGTTCAAAGCAAATCTTTTGGGAAATGCTTGAGAAGATGAATTCTGATGTAATGTATTCCTTCATGCTAGTAATTTAAAAGCATGATATGTAGAAACAGTAATGACCATGGCATCTTCCTATTATCCCCTCCTCCCACCCCCTTCTTTCTTTGATGACTTATTGAAGTGAACCTGGATAGAGAAAGCAATGACTTTCAAAAGCACACTGATACCATGGCATTGTTTTTTGAGGAAAAAATATTTTCCTTGTTAGTTAAACTGCATTTCCCCCAGAAAATCTTCTCTGTCAATGTAACATCCTTGAACAGGACTCCTGCTGGCCAGTCCTTGCATCTTGTGGTGGCAGCTGTGAACATATGTACTACAGATTGTTAATGTGCGATATAAATTGGACTGGAGCATGCCCGCTAATTGGTTTGTGTGCTCGATATAGACAATGCTGTTTTATAGTAGCCTGTGCAGATAGGCCTAGTCACAAGGTTAATTCTGCTTGACAGAACATCAGCTGCATCTCGAGAGTAATTACCCAACCGAAGTTTTCCCACAGCTCAATTGAGAGCTTCAAAGGCTTCTCGATTTACAGCCAGTATTAACCTATATCTGAAATGTAATGTTCCCACCAGGGCTCATTTTTTTTTCCCTTCCTCTTATTAAATGTATGGGTTCCTAGGTTCATTTGCCGTGTACTAAGTGCTGATGTTGATAAAGTGGAAATCTACAATAATAAAGATGGTTGTCCATTTCTTTTTTTGGTATTCCTTTTCCTTTATTTATTGCATTACTGGAAACCCATGAAACTGAGGAGATCTGATGCTTTTTGCATCATCCCTTCCCTCCCCTTCCCACATAAAACAAACAAAAAGTTAATATCTTTTCCATATTGTGTTATCTGTATGAATATGTGTCTCCATGAGGGCCCTAGGGTAAGGAGTACATTTCAGATAGTTAAAGTAAATATGTGTTTGCTTCTCAGTGTGCTGTGTTCCACTTGGTTCTCAAAAGTATGGTAATCTATAACCATGACATCTTGTTCTCATAAAATAACTGTTACTTACCCTACCATTTTTATAATGTAAGAAATTTCTTTTTCTTTTCAGTTCAGAAACCAAATATGACTCTGGTTCAGGTATGTTTACATTTACAATGTTTTTCTGAGTATATTTTATTTATGTTATTCTCTAAAGAGTAATTTCATCAGATCAAGTACAGTTTTGATTTTAAACAGACTGGGCAGGAGATTTTTAAACTACAGTGTTATTGACTTTTTGGGATGTTCACTAGAGATCCCTGATAGCTCTGCAGTGGACATTTATATGTACTGAATATCTGTAGAACTTCCATTTAAAAAGCTGGGTGGGGGTGGGGAGTGATCATTGTTTAAAATAGTATATTATTCTTTCTGGTGTACCTACAAAAAACATTCTGGAGAACTTAAGTCTGTGTAACTTACATGTCAAGAAGCAAGTGATTTGTCTTTAACAGATCCCTCCCTGTGCACTGGCCCAGGACTGTCCTGAGGTGATTCATCCAATGGAAAAAGTTCTATGATTTCTCTAGTTTGTTTTTTTAAAACATGTTTTGAGAATAACACATATAAAGTGCTTTGCAAACATCGGTGATAAGTAAATGCTAGTTATTTTTCCTTAAATATGATTATTGTGTTATATTATTAAGTGATATTATTGTGGTGTTATTGACAAATATTATTTATTGGTATTGTTATTAATATTATTTTGTGGAAGGTAGAAATGTAGAGGTCTTCATAAGCATTTATTCTCTATCTAAGACAAAAATATACACTCAGGTCAGTATGGAGGTAGAGAGCCCTTAAATGTTTTTCTCCAAATGAGGGATATTAGCCATTTATATACTTAGTTTTGTATCTTACTGGCTAAAATCTTTTATTCAAGGGTTTCTGGAGCTGTTTAAGAGGAATTGCCTTTCTCTCTCTTAAATGGTTTATAGAAAAATACATTTTTTTAATCCAAAGGGAAAATAATTTTTAGGAAAAATACCACCACAATAGTTCCCTTATTCTTTTTTTTTGTATTTATTTTTAAAATTTGAAAACATCCTATTCATTAGCATTATGAAGAATCCTGAAATGTTCTACTTGAGCTTTATGGTGGTTTTGGAATGGAATGTCACACTTTCTTCCTAGGCATTAAGTTGCAAGCACCTTTTTTTTTCATTGTATGACTTTATGAATCTTGTTTAAATTGATGTGACTCTATAAATCTGAAATGTGTAGGTTGTAGCTTATTGCTTCACTAATAGGTGAAATCTATTATTATAAAGACTTTTCAGCCAGTATTTTGGGGCTAATAATTGCAAGATGTCAATTACTTGAGATAAAAGTATTTGATTTATTTGGGAGACTTATATTGATTTATTGAGACAGTCAGTTAAAGGCAAAGTAGTATTGTCCTAACTGAACTACCTTTCCACTAATAAACAAAAAGTGACTCAAAGCAGCATATAAAATGCCTGTTTTGCTACCCAATTTCTACACAAACAAAAAAAGAATTTGGAATGGACAAATATGATATAAAAAGTGTTTTAAGTTGAGAGGAAAATGTATTATTATTATATTCATCACAAAATCCATTAGGACTCTTTTAATTTATTCTGGTCAGTTTTTAAGTACTATGGAAAGCTTACTTTGTGGAAAGTATTGTATTAGGCTCTCATGTAGATAAAATTCTCCAGACAGAAAATCGAAAATATACATGCCTGTAGAAACTTTGTTCTTATGGTACAAGGTCTGGAATACAGCTTTAAAAGAAAAGAGAAAGAAAGAAAGAAACCCACTAGGTTCATTGTAAAATAAATCCTGGAAACATTGTACCAAACTGAAATATTGAGCTGCTATTGTCAAAATAAAATCATTTATATTAAATTTTTACATTCATATTAAAGGCATGCTATTAAGTTCTTGTATTAAAGGTAAATATTTATCATGTGAATAGTTCTAACATCTGTACAGGCACACTTCCTTCACTCTTATGACCAAAGGTTTTGTCCACAAGAAATACTTTTTTCATATGCTAATTTTTATGCCTATCATTGACAACATCTGTAGGCCTTGAAAATCACAAAGGTCTGTACTTTGACAATTCCTATGGGAAATAATGATTAAAAGTGTATTTATTCTTTTAATATCAATTTAAATAATTTGAGGAAAGAATTCAACTAATTTCAAATTGAGAAATGGCTAATTATTACCTTAATATAACTTCTTAGGAGGGAAGGCACCATGAAAAAGAAAACTGGAAATTCCTGTTTTTGTTTTTGTTTTTTGACATTCTATATCATGCAAATGATACTCTTCCATGTACATTATGTGGTTAGGAATAAGGTAGCATGTTGGAACAATTAAGTGTATGACTTTGACAGGTTCAAATCCTCTATTGTTCATCAAACACTGAAAGCAAATTAGCTCTGTTTAATGTAGTGAGCAGCTGTGGGATTTTTCCTGACAAAGAAAGATTCTTAAATGAAGGAAGATGCCAGTCTTACTTTAAAAAAAATTAGAAAAATAAGCATTCTAGTTGATGACTAGCCATCAAGGAAATGATTACAAAGTCAGATTTTATATGTATTTAGGCACTGTTCTAGCAAAGTGCCCAGTTTATGCAGACATTATTGCCCAAAGTTCAGCCAGTTTTATAAATGTGTTTTGGACTCTGGAATGGGATTCAGGAGAAAGGAAGGAAACCTTGCATTGTCAGCATTTGGGAAGACTCTCCAAAAAAATTTGAGCATACACTGAGATAGAAATATACATACATATATATGAAAACTTGTTTGTGTCAAAACTTTTTGCAAATCTTCAAAGGGAGAGGTTCTTTCTTAAGTTGAGGCCTGTGAACATTTTTTAATAAAATAGTTTTGGTAACTATTTCAGCTGTATTTGGTTTCCATTGCAATGTTATGTATTTTATTTTATGAATTTAAAAATATTATTCTGAGAAAGGAGTCCATAAGCTTAATGAGATTATCAAAAGCTCCCATAATACACAAGCAAGTTAAGAATTCCTGGTCTAAAGCATACCCAGGTGATTTTTATTATTGAAAAGATTTGATTTTATATAATTAGTTTAGAGGATCAGTTAGATTTTTATTTTCTTGAGGTTTTCATCTGTCTTAGAAATCTGGAAGGAATAGCTATGAGATTTTTGTGTCTATACATAGTCGACAAGTGTTGGAAAGCTCCACAATGTGGTGATTTGTATGATGAAGAAGACCCACAACTGACAATGAATTTAGACCTATTCTAAGAACTCTGGGATTGTTGTCCCCTCTAATTTCATATGTCTTAACTTTTAGCTTCAATCTAGCTGTGTGCTTTATATGCCAGGTCAACTGCTATTTAGCACTATTTACAATCCTCTTCTGTTAGATTGTAAGTCAGTGACCTGAAGGATCTGGCTTTGCCAATTGAGAACAGAAAACCCAGTTTCTTTCTACAAGAGAGAATATATTTCATTTTGAGTAGCGTTTTCTAACACTGCTTGCCTGGAAACAGCGTCGAGTTGATGATTTTCCTAGTACAGTAAAACAAACCTTCTTTGATGTTCAGAAATAGCAAGAAGCTATGCATTACTCCCCACCCCCCAAGAAGGGAAGTTGGTTGAAGCTGGAGGAAACAGAGCATTGAGTTTAATATGGTAATTAAACATGAAAGTCATATATCAAATCTCAGGAGAAATATGCTTTGGAAAGACACAGAATTGTGGAAGCACATTGTATGATAGGCTATGTAAACAAAACCTATGAGGGCAGTATGTGGATGCAAACCAATTAAATAAAGGACTTACAGAAGTTACTTTCTATGGGCGGAACGAGAAGGATCACAAGCTGAAATGGACCCTTCAAAGCATCCTGGCAACCTTGCAAACCGTCACTATGTTTTCTACTAGTCACTAGGAAGAAGAAAGTCATCAGTTTAAATTTTATTTCAACAGGAACCCATTAGCAGAGCTGCTTCTTGATGAGTAAAATGCAAAAGGGCAGGAAGCTTGGAAGAAAAACCACCTCCCAGTGGTCCTTCCGAAAATGTAATCTGTTGTCAGATTTTTCAAGAGTGTGTCCCTCCTGTACATGTAATAAACAATCACAGTTTGAAAAAGGAAGAAATTTATAACAATTTGAACAAAGTGGTGGGGCTAATGGATGTAAGAGTTTTTTTCAGGGCTTGAGACTGATTTGTTGGCGGTCCATATAACATAAACATATCACTATTTTGGCATTGGACTTGGAATCAGGAAGAACTGTGTTCAAATCCTGCCTTAACCACTTAGTAGTTACCCTGGGCAAGTCATAATCTCTGAGCCTCTGTTTCAACCTTCTTAAAATGGGTATAATAATAGCCACCTACCTCACAGCGTTGTTATAAAGATCAGAAGAGATAATGTATTATAAAATGCTTTGCAAACTTTACAGCACTAATATAAAATGCTAGTTATTGTTTCTAGAGATATATGCTTATAGAGACAAATCAGAAAAGAATAAAGAACACTCTGTGTCCTGCATATTAGAGTGAGCATCTTTTTTTTTTTTAAATCTACATACGGTAGAGATATAATAAACTAAAGGAAAAAAGAAGTATTTGGGACAGTACTTACCTGCTGCAGAATCCCAAAATTAGAGCAGATTGAGAACAAATGTTTGCTGATCCAGGGAAGTTTGTTTGATTGCCTTCTTTTTGTTATTAAATATTTTTCTAAATTTCTCTCACCAAGTTTGCATACAAGAAATTAAACTCCAATGCTTCAAGTTGGTGTGGAGGGTGGACAACCTAAGCTAGAAAGGCTGATCACAGGTCGGGTGAGAGACAGTAGCCTTGCGTTCCTTCTGAGAGACAGCATGGCTAAGAGGTGGCTACCAATCTGCATCATCGGAGGGAGTACCCATATTGATGAAATCATGTCGTTAAAAATAGATTTCTCTATAGCAAACACCACTAGATGACAAGTTGCCAACCTTTCTGCCACATTTGGGGTAATCAATGTTCTCAGAACTGAATAGATGAAGTATATAGGGCCATGTGTCTCCTGCCCACAAGTTTATAATATATATTTATAATTATACAAAGTGATAATTTATAATTTGTAAGTGACAGCA